AAAGGGGGCGCGGCTGTCCAGAGGACGCCTGCGGAGTCGCCACAGCAGCTGTCCTATGTGCCACCTCTTCCATACGGGCATCTCCTCCAGCCCCTGGGCACCCGCTGTGTGGCGCTGCCTCAGAGGTGCAGTTGCAGACTGCCGCTCACTCTGATTGCTCTACTTCACACGTGCGCCTGGGCTGGAGGGAGCCCCGGGAGTCACTTCCAGCCTTTCTCTTGTTGGGAAGACTCTGGCTCCCCCACTCTCCTGGGAGACGCATGTGCCTGCCTGCCGAAGGACTGCATGAATCCTGACTCCGCAGGATTCCAGGACGTACCCCCAGCCAGGTGCCTGGCGCTGGGAGGTGCTCAGTGAGTACCTGACGGTGGTGGCCTCCGTGGGGGAGCAGTCTCCACGCAGTGGGGACTCCTGCGGCTGATGATCGGCTGCGGGGACTGACAGCCCGAGAAAGAGCAGCCCTCTCCGGCCCAGGTGAAGAGCAGTGAGGCCCAGAGCAGCAGCCCGCCTTCCCAAGCTCAGGGGCTACGCCGAGGCCAGGGCTGCATCGAGGCTTCTCCGCTCCCTGGGGTGGAAGCTCAGCGATAGCCAGAGCCCCCAAGCCAGGGAGCTGAAGAGTTAATCCTGGGCTCCCCAGAGAGCGTGCACACTCCTGACCCTCCCTGTCTTCCAGGCCCTCAGCTGCGGCCTTCTGGGCATAGCTTGGTCACGTGAGAGCCAGATGTGGGGATTTCCCAAGCAGTGATGTGTGCGCGCACGCGCTCGCACGCACAGCTGTTTACGTGGCGTCTGAGCGGGAGGGGATTGGTTCAGCCCCGTGCAGAGCAGGGGAGGGTTGGGTAAGGAGAGGCCCGGGGCCTCCCAGCAAACACCGTGGGGGGCTACACTGAGCCCCGCGAGCCCCGCTCCCGCCAGACATTGTAGATAAGAGAGTTGTTTCTGCTCAGACTCCTATTTCCTGCAACATCCATCTTGCCACAGAACTGTATTGGTTATGGATAATTTTTTTTAAATTCTGTTTGAAGGGCTTTGAAGCAGATGCTAGAAGCCAGCAGCCTTTCGGGATGATCTGCAGGGCTCGGGGACCTGCCTGGGAGCCATCGTGCCCAGCACAAGCTAGGGTTCCGGTCTTTCTGATCTGAGACGGCCTGTATGTAGCTCAGGAGGCAGAGCCTGGTCCAGAGAGAGGGCAGAGCGTGGGTGCCAAGAGGCCCTGGGGCAGGGGGGTGAGCTGGGCCTCGGTTTCCCATGAAACCACTGAGCCTGAGATCAAAAGAGTACTCATCTTTCCACCAGCCACTGGGGATTAACTGGGCACCTACTATGTTCAGGGTGTTGTGGGTATACTGACAAGGTTAAGAACCTGAAGAAACTAAAGGTCTGATTGGAAAGAGTCATAACAAAATTTTGTTAAGCCCCCACTATGTACCAGACACTTGCTAGGACTGCAGCCCTAATCAGACATTGTGGAGCCAGTTGAAACAGACAGTGAACAGTGCAAAGATCCTGCCCAGGACAAGATGAGGGAGGCAGGCAGACTTTGAAAAGCAGGTGTCCTCATTCCTCAGTTCAGGAATGAATCTCCCACAGCCCTGCCCTCCTCCCCACCCGTGTCCTGCACCAGCGGACGGCAGCGTCCTGCCAGATGTCTGCTAAAGTCCCGGGAGCCCTGCCCCAAAGGCGGGTCCAGTTACACATGCGAGGCTCCGGGACTCAGCCCTGCAGTGTCTCCCGCCCTGGACTCCCCTGGGGCCCGGCCTGCCTCCTGGTTGGGCTGGGCAGCCTCAGAGAGGAAGGGTGCACTTCAGTGGCAGCCCCAACGCCTAGGTGGGTGGATGAGGGAGTCATGCTGCTTCCCCAAACCTACACGAGTCCTGGAGCAGACAGCATCGCTTGGGAGAGTGTCTGTGGTTGCATATCTGTGCCCTGTCTGTGGTGCTTCGAGACTGGCGGTGACGAGTCAGATGGCCGTAACCAGGGGCCGCCGCTGTGCACGTGGTTGGTGCTCCTTAAATAGTTGGCAGTTGATTCACTGATAATCTGATGGCAGGAGTCCAGTCTAGAGAAAAGGAGACATTCCACTTTTTGCTGTCCTGGGATGGGAATGTCTGTCTTGAGTCCGCTGCTGTCGACTTCATCACTCACTCACGGCTCTCTCTCGTGGAGACCGAGCCAGGGAGGGAGACGATTGCAGGATGGGAGACCAGACAGGGGCGCCTGCTGACTTCGTCCTGCCTCACGGCCCGTTTCTGTGCTGCCTGTCTCAGTGTGAACACAGATACTGGCTCTGGCTGGGGCTTCTCGGGGAGCTGGTGGGTGGGGAAATTGGAGGGGGGATGTCCCAGTAAGTAGGGGAGGACCACCAAGGCAGACCACCCCAGGGAGGGGGATGGCTGGGATCCTGGAACTCCAAACAGTGTTGAGTTTGTGTCTTCTCTGCACACAAACACCCAGCATGGGGAGAGCTGAGAACTGAGGGGGAGGCCACAACCCAAGGGGCTGCCGTGGTCCAGCCGCAGCTGCTGAGAGCAGAGCTCAGAACCCACCGGCCTCCCCACCCAGCGCCCTCTGTCCGCCCACGGTGCCTCTGCCTGACCGCAGCACCTGTCTTTAACCCAGGGTGGCAGGAGGGTGGCAGACCTGCCGCTACCCCCTGCCAGGACAGCCCCCTCTAGCCAGCTGCAGTACTCTCAGCATGTCTTTGGCCTCTCTGTCCACACCCATGTGGGCTGGGCTGACCCTTCTGCTCTCAGCCCTCTCCTGCAAGGGCGCCCTTGGACTTAATCCCTAGGGGCTGTGGAGCATCTCCAGGCCTGGCCCCCACCCCGCCCCACCCCCACCTGAGCAGGGAAACAGACTGTTCCCTGACTGCATAGCTCAGCGGCCAGAGGGTCGCTGGTGCATTCCTGCCCCGGGTTGGGCTGCCCCCACGCGTACTCTGCTACTCTGTGTGCTGGGAAAGGAAGCAGGCCCTTTCTTGCTGAGAGCAAAAGGAATAGCAGCATGGCCGCATTTACAAAGAGAAGCACAGCAGAAAAATATAAGGCCTCGGCCAGTGGCTGGGGAGGATCCAGAAAGTGACATCTCCCAGTGGGGCCCCCGTGTTCCCGTTTCCCAGCCAGCCTGCCTTGGCACGAGTCTGATACTGTCGCTTGCTTGCTGTGGGGTCTGGGGAAAGAGCCATAGCTTCCCTGCGCCTCACTTTCCTTATCTGTAAAGTGCAGATGGTCGTAATGCTCATAAAATGTTTAGCAAGGTGCCTGGCATGAATGTGAGGTAAGTGGGAACCATTATCATTATTCTAGCCCCAGCTCTAGTATTTACTTGCTGTGTGATCTTAGGCAAGTTTCTTCCCTTCTCTGGTCCTGAGCCCCCACATGGTCTTTCCAGCCTGTGGGGTACCCCCAGGAAACCAGGGATGAGGCCGTGGGAGGGAGCTGGAGGCAAACCATGACCTGACTTTCCATTTAGGAGTTGCTTTCTGTCTTTGAGAAGACACCTGTTAAAAATTCATCCCTTCTACTTTTCTTTGTGAGTACTTCTGTGTATCTAGCTCAGAAGTCTGTGCCCGGAACCCTCAGGCATAGGCAAGACCCACTGCACAATGAAAATGTGGGGCCTCTCATTCATAAATCATGAATGATTTCAAACCCGTGGCAGAAGCACATTAAACCAGTTTCGGGGCTCGTCTAAGCTTGGCGTCCCAGGCGCCTACACTGCCTTGGGTTCTGGGGGTGTAGGAGGCGCAGCCTGGGCTGCCACTGGAGCAGCACCCACCACTCACACCCTCAGTACCAGGGCGTTACTTCCTCCTGCCATAAGTACCTGTGACAAGCTGGCTTCTCCTCGCCCTAGAACAAGCTTCAGAGAGCTGCCCGTGAGAAGCAGCTCACACGAAGCTACCATACTGTTCCTAACCTCCACCCGGTGAGTTCTGATCGGAAGTCATGTTTGAGCTATTGTTACTTTTCTGTCTTGGCCATCCGAATTCATGCTGTTTTTCCCAGGTGACGGTCACATCGCTTTCACCGTTGTGCCTCTATTTCTGCTGTTCTGAGCGTGACAACCTGTTTCAGGCCCCCTAAAAGGGAATATCCTGTAGGTCAAACTACTTGTTTATAAAGGACTCTTCACCATCTAGGGCTGTGGTGAAGGTTTGAGCTGTGTTCCTATGACAGTTCCTATGATAGTTCCCATGACAGTTCAGTGCCTGCAACAAGGATGTGCTCTACTCGTGGCCACAGCCACCACTGCTACTGTGAATACTGTGACATAACAGGACTAGCAGTTGTCAGGCCTTAATTAGTTGATGGCCAGAAAGTGGTGGCTGAGTTTCCTGGTAGCCTGGTCAGACAGGAAAAGAGACATGGCATCTGTAGGAACGCTAAGAAATCTGGGCCTGTGCAAAGTTTAGTCGTACGGAAGGGGAGAAAAGACTAGAATATAACAGTTATTGAGAAACTAGTTCAAGGCTACGGCAAGGTAAGGATAGGATTCCCAAGGAGGCAGAGGTCTTGAGTGCACTGAGATGTCAAAGGACATGGAGAAGACAGGAGGTGTCCATCCCATCGGCCCCGCACTCCCCTCCCAGGCTCCCGGGGCAGAGGCTATGGAAGCCAACACAGCCGGCGACCCTGCCCTGGTCTCCAGGGAGCCTGTGGTTCTCGTTTCTTCTCCGTGGGCTTTGCACTGTTGGTCGTATTCATCCCTGTCTCTCCCACCTGGGCTCGCAGCCCACTCTGGATTTATTACTCTAGATGGGTGGAACTTGCTTTACTCGAGGGAAGCATTCCTGGAAACATGGACTAAGACTAGATTTGGGTAAACTGAACCCGATTCTCACTGCTCTGGAGTTACTCAAGCTTAAAAGAAGCCTTAGCGTGAACCTATAGGGTACTTTCCTAACCTACGCCTATCCATGTGTTTTTATGTAGTCTTTGGGGGGGGGGGGTGTTAGGGGGAGCTCCTTAAAGTCAGGGGCGCCTGCGGTGTCGTTCTTTGATTTCTCATCGTTGCCGGGACCTGACAAGACTTGGCGTCAGCATCTGTGTGCCCTCCGGTCGCTGTATTTGGCTGGAACTTGCAGGCGCAGGTTTTCTCTGGCTTCTTGCTGGTGTTGCAAGCCAGGAGCAATGGCCGTGGCAGGGACACGAGCACTGTGGGCCAGCTGAGGCTAGCAGTCCCCATGCCACCTGTCTCCCGGGAATCCACTGCTCTCAGTACCAGCTTTGTCCCTAAAGCCCACTCTCTCCTTCCTGTCCCAGAGGCCTAAATCTACCCCTCCGGCACCTTTCACAAGCATTAGGCCATTTCAGCCTCAACCCCACGGAGAAGACAGGGTAGGTGTTTTTATCCCTATTTTACAAAAGAAGGCAAGAGACAACAGAGGTTTGCTAAGTGCCCTGGAGCCGGTGAGCTAAGTGGCAAAGTGAGCACAAGAACCAGGGTTTCTGTTATTCTGGCTCCAGATCTCTGACCTCTTTGCCTCCTGAATCCTCTGCTGTTTGGGACTTGGGTCTCCTTACGTGGAGCCTGCGTTCAAGTGGTTTTCCCTGGAAAGATTCATTTCAGCTGTGGTACGCTTGTGTTATGGAGACTACCGGGTATCTGCTGAGAAAGCCCAGAAGATCAAACAACTGCCTTAGAGATCGAGAGGCCCAAATGCTTAGTTTCGCAGATGTGAGCATTCAGGCCCAGAGGAGTTAAGCCACTTGCCCAAGGTCACACAGCTAGTTCTCAGTAAGACCAGTTGTGCGGATTCCAAGTCCCGTGTCCCTTGCTTTGCGGCAGGCCCATGAGCCAGCTCTGTAGGGCCCTAGGTTCTATGTCACAGGGAGGGAAGTAGAAACTGCAGGGACAGCAGGAAGCAGTTGGTTTGTGTCGGTCACAGCTGCTCACTGGGGCTGCGCCTGCCCCTTGCTCCTTCACCCCGTCTTTCTGTCTTCCCAGCCCTGAGCCAGCAGCCTTGTCTGCCTCTTGGCTGGAGGGCCTGGGTTTGCGAGCCAGAGGCTCTCCTCTGTTCATTGTAAGGAGGCAGAAGGGGTCCTTCCCACCCTGGGCTAAAGCTTGCGAGGGTGGGCTGGACAGAAGGGACTCCAACGGGGTGGGAGGGGGAGATTTTGAGTGGGAGCAGCGGAACTGGATTAATTCTGCAGGTCAAGAGACTGGGAAATAAATCATATTTTAGAAAGACTTTCCTTTTAAAAAGACAGGCTTGTTTCTGGTCTGCTTCCCATTTTCCTTTGGGAAGAGAGATGGGAAGGCCTGCTTATGGGGGAGGGTGAAAGGGACAGGCATGAACTTGGGTTGTATGACCTCGGGTTGTCTGCCCGCAGGCCGAGTCCAGCCCACCTTGGGGTTTTGTAAGTAAAGTTTTATTGGAACAAAGCCCACCTATTCTTTTACATATGATCTGGGGCTGCTTTTGCACTGCAAGGATAGAGTTGAGCAATCTCAACAGAGACCACGTGGCTCCCAAAGCCTAACATATTTACTCTGTGGTTCTGTAAAGACCCCTGCTCTAGCAGAACAGGGCTTCTTGGGTTCTCTGGGACCAGGCAAAATGCCTTCCCTTGGCTCACTGAAAGAGGTCTCCTTAGGGAGAACCCAAAAGGAAGGTATACAAAGTGGTAGAGCAAGCCGAGGGGGAGAAAGACGTGGATGACCTCCCAGCTGAGTCAGCGCAGGCTATGTAGGGTCAGACGGGACTGGCAGGGGCCCGGCATGGCCTTGCTGGGGGGCAGCCCATGTGGCCACATCTCTGGGGCACAACAGTAGGGAGTTGGAACCTCAGCAAGGTGTGGGCCCCAGGCAGCGAAGCCCCACATTCTGAACTCAGACCTCCTTGACCACACCAGCTTAAAGCCTTGGAGGTCCTAGGTGTGTCTCCCTCATCTCAGCCCTGGGCCCTCGAGGCTACCCAAGGAGGATGCTGACCCCCTAGGCCTGGGGAGAGACTCTGGTGACATCCCCAGGAGTCCCTCTGCCTCCGATTCCTGGTGACCTGGTCTTTGAGGGTGACTGTGGGCAAGGATCTCTGACCGGTTCCAGCTTTCTTGGTGCATGCAGTATCAAGCACCGTCCAGCTCCCATCCTGGCAGCCCCAGGCGCGTGAGTTTTCTGGAGCCCCCAGAGCTCACTGAACCCAGGGAGCCAGGCTCATGCTAACCACGCTCATGGGAGAGATCGTCAGTGGCCGCTAACCGTTAATGAGCGCTGACTACGTAGTAGGGACAGTGCTGGGCACTATTATGTATTATCTCATTTAATCATCACAGAGTCTCAGAAGGTAAATTCGGAAACAGGCTCAGAGAGGTTAGGTTGCTTCCTCAAAGGGGCAGAATCTAGATTCAAACCCAAGCAGTCTGACTCCTGAGGCCTTACCAAGCCTCTCCACCAGAGCCCCACTCTTCTGGCTTACAGACAGAACCGGCAGGGCCAGGGTCTACACGGGGAGCTGGCCTGCAATGGGGAAGTGGCTTGCCCAGCAAGGGAGAGAGTTAGGTCCTGTAAATAAATGGTGAGTGGCATCAAGCTCCGATCGCCAGTGTCCCCGGAAGAGATGGACAGTATACTAGCTGTGTGACCTGGGGCATGTTACTTAACCTCTCTGGTTCAGCTTCTTCATCTGCAAAGTCAAGGAAATTATAGTACCTATCATTGTAGGTTTGTTATATTATATGAGTTACTATGTGTAAAGTGCTTGGCAGAGAGTAAATGCTGTGTAAATGTTTGCTGCTGTTTATCGGTACTGTCTGTGAATGGGCCAGGCCGCTGTCCCGGCCAGCACCGGGTGGGTGGTACAAGGGTTTGTCTCCCAGACGTACAGCTCAGCACTTCCTGTAATTGTCCCCATTGCAGCCAGTGCTCCGCTCCTTTGGAGGTGCTGAGCAGCCCGGCAGAGAAAGCAGCAGACTTGGGATGCCGCCAGACTGGTTCCATTTGTGGCTCATGCGAGCCTGAGCCAGTTACTTCCCTATCTGAAAGATTCCACCCCTGTACAATGGGGCTAAAGATGTGTACCTATACGTAGACTTTGTCAGTGCTCTCTGTATCATGACTTCTCATATTCTAGAATGTTCATACCATTGATGAGAGCAAGAGCTTTCTGCCTCATTATAATGTTGATGGTATCACATCCCGTAATCATGTGTTCTTTGCGGTGCTTTGATTTTGCTCTCCTCCCTCTTAGCAGGAGGACAACTTTTAACCCCATTTCACAGGTGGGGAAATTGAGGCCCAGATTGGACACCACCATCTGAGCTTGGAATAGAGCCCTCATCTCTTCTGTCACTGAAGGTCCCTGTCCTTCTGGGTTGGGGTTGGGGAGTGAGACTCTGCAGTCATGTCCTTCCTTCCATTCTGCCAGGGCCCGTCTGTCTTTCTCAGTGGGTGGGGCTGTGGCGGAGGCTGGACGGGACATGAGGGCCAGTGGATGTGGTGCCCAAGACCTGGACACTGGCCTTGGCTGCTCCAACCCAGACATTCGAGGTTCCGAGTCCAGGCCACTGGGCCTGCTGGCTTTTGGAACCGCCAGGCCCTGTGGGGCCAGCCACCCACATGGCCAGAGAGGAGGGGCCGGGCTGCCTTTTGCAGGCCATGATAACCCACAGGCCCCGTTCCAAGGCGGGGGTTGTGCAGGAGTCTCTGTGCTCCAGAGGATTCCTGCGTTTCGGCAGACACCTCATTATCCCTGTCCCAGCCCGCTGTGTCCCAGTGCCTCTGTAATCATATAGGCCCACGCCCATCAGCCAGCCCAGGGCCAGGAAATCACTCCCCTCCCGTCCTCCGCCTTCCGCCCGTGGCTGGCCTAACGCGGCGCCTGCAGCCACTCGCTGTGGACCTCCTGCCTGCCTAACCGTCTCTCTCCTCTGTTCTCCTGCTGCTGCTGCCTGCTCTCGGGGCACTCGGAAGTGTGGCTCTCCAGCTGGGCTGAGTCTCCCAAGAAGGACGTGACAGGTACTGCATGCATGTGAACATGTGTGTTCCAGGCATGTGTTTGTGGGAGCTGGTGCCCACAGCCGCTCTCTGCATGTTTCCCTGTGATGTGTAGTGGTCCTTTATCGGCAAGTCGGGCACCTGCCACTCGCTGTGCCCGCTGCCTCCCTGGTCGACACTTCTTGGTTTTCAGATCCAGCCTGGGAGCCCTTCGAGGAGCGGGAACCCGGGAGCACCGTGTGTGAGCACATGTGCTCTGACCCAGGGCGCGCAGGCGTGAGTCCCAGCTCTGCCGCGCCCTGGCCGTGCCGCCTCGGGTGGGTTGCATGACCTCTCTAAGGGATGTCACACTACCTCGTGAGGAGCGTAGCACACAGAACGCGCTCGGGTGACGGAGGGGCTCCCATCCCATCAGCTTCTGCTCATCTCGATCGGCCGTCCCAGCGATGCGCCGGCACGAGATGATTCACGTCATTTCAGGGATTTAAACTGAAGCAGGGTGCTGAGGTCCCTGCCGCCCAAGCCTGGTTTCCAGTGATCTCTGGGGAGCTGGAGATTTGGGATTAGAGCAGGACAGTCCTGTGACTGAGACTGAGGGTGGGTCACAGTCCCCATGCCCCAGTGCTCCAGAGCTTGGAGCTGCCTCTGGCCTCAGGAGCCTTTCGAGGCTTTGCCCTGCCTGGCCGAGCTGGTCCTTGGGGACTTGAGCCTCGGCTTGTGGCCAGGAAGAGCTGGACCAGGGGTCAGGAACTTGCCTTTAGTCTTACTGGACAATGGCAGAGAAGCCAGTATGGCAGGGTCCTTAGCTCCTAGAGGGAGATGGTCGGGAGAGAAATGGGATTTCCGGAAGGGTCTTCTAGGGGGGTCCCTCCATTCCTGAAAGTGTTACCCACCACCCATGCCTCCGGCCCCAAACCTGAGAGCAGAGGTTCAGGCTGGAAGTTTGGGGACAAGGCAGAAGGATCGGTTTGGCAGGGGCCGGGGGCTGGGCCAACCACAGGGGTGACAGCCTAAGGCTCAGCCCTCCCACCACAGCTGCCAGCAGGGACTGGGAGGGGGCGTCCTGGGAGGGGTCGTCCTGGGAGGGGTCCAGAGGAGAGGAGAAGGCAGAGGGTGGGAGCGTGGGGACTCCTGCCTCTCAGGCATCCTCCTGGTGTTCCCTGTGCCGAGGGCCTGAGCTAATCGCTGGGCTCCTGTCCCTTTTTCCCCTCTCCACAAGCCAGAAAGCCAGAGCCCACTTGGCCCACAGCAATACATTCTATTCACCAAACGTATAGCTGAGGGGCTAGCAGGCCCAGTCCGGCCTGGGAGGAGCCAGTTGTGAGGGGCCGGAGGGACCTTGGTGGGACGCCAGGGTTAGGGGTCGTGGGGAGCCTGGGCAGAGGCTGCCACAGGCCTGGCTTCTCAGCAGGAGAGAGATGTTAGCGAGAGATGAGGGTCCTTGGCAGCTTAGCCTGGCTCCGCCCTGGAGTGGGCCCAGGGGGCTCCAATCCGGTTCTCCCCAGCTAGCAAATGCCCACTGCCTGCCTGGAGTGGGGTCTGGGGGAGGCAAGTTGCAGGGACAGTGCCCTGGCCTCCCTGCCCCGGCTTCTCCTGGTGCCTGCAGCCCTTGCCCCGAGCTGCCTGCTGGTCCCGAAGCTGCAGAGGAACCAAAACCTCCAGCCCCACCCCCCCAGATCCGCCATTGCCTGTTTGTCTTGTAAACAGCTGCCTACAGCTTACACTGGGTGTTAGCCCCTGCCCCTTTGTTCTGTGCTCAGAATAACCCCGGGAGGTAGATACTTTATTGTTCCTGTTTACACATGAGGAAGCTAAAGCTGGGAGAGGTTAACTGTCCTCCCTGGGGTCACACCGCTAGGAAGGACAGAGCAGGACTGGACCTCAGACCCTTCGACTCTAATGCTAAGCTTTTGCATCATGAATCTCAGGTAATTACGTTTTTGTCGTGTCTTATGGCACCAGTCCTGGGGCGTCAGCTCTTATCAGGAACAAGATAAGAGTCTCAAACACGTGGTCTGGTTGGGGAGCAGTGCCCAGCAGGAAGTCCAGCAGGGAGCAGGAGCGAGCACTGTGGCTGTGGGGATCAGAGGCCTCCTGGAGGGCAGAGATGCCTGGAGAGAGTTGGGATTGGGAGAGAGAAGGGGAAGGCTTTCCAGGCAGGGGCCAACAGCTAAAGCAAAGGCTTGGAAAGTAAGAACCTGCATAGAACAGTGTTGTTGGCATATAGTAGGTGCTCAGTACACATGTGTTGAATCATGATTGTTGCATGAATGGCGAGAGTGGGGTGTCAGGGAATGTAGGGAGCTCATATTGGCAAGAAAGACTGGGCTTGAATTTGGCCTTTATTCCACAGGCAACAGGGAGCCATAGAAGGTGTTAGAACAGGGGACTGACTTGGCAAAAGCATCGTTTAGAAGTTTAAGTTGGCAGCCGGGATCAGGCAGGAGCCAGGGTTCCATCCAGGTGGTAGTTGGAGGAATGCAGGTTTGAGGCAAGGGTGGGGTGCAGGGGTCTTGGAGACCCCCAGGACCCCAGCAGGTCCAGCCAGGGGCTCTACTAAAGCACAAGAGTCTGACCCTGGACGAGACTCATGCAAAGTCCCCTTCCAACCCAGGAGAGGCTCTAGTCTCTAGAAGGGGGACACTCTTCCCTGCTGCTGCCAAGTCCTTCTCATCTAAAGACAGAGGCCCGTCCACTGCCCCCTCCCACCTCAGGCAGACTCCTCCAGCCCCCGGTTCTCGGGCCTTGGCTGGGAGGGGATCCAGAGCAGCCTCTGTGGGATGACATCACCGCCCACTGCCCGCCTGGCCTGCGAGCGGTTTCTCATCTGGATACCTGCTCCCAGCTCCCGCCGCCCGGCAGGCAACACCCTACGAGGCTGCTGCCAGAGGGCCGAGCTGGGAGCCTGCGTGTGCTGCGGAGAGAGGGCAGCCGGAAGGACAGAGCGCGTGTCTGTGTGTCCATCCCACGACCTTTGCAGCAGCCTCCACGAAGCGCCCCAGCCTGTCCGTGTTCCCTGGTGCCTGGAGAGCGTTTTCCTAACTTTCCTACCTGTCACCCAGAGTGTCAGCCTTCAGAGGGCTCGGGCCAATTTTCCAGGAAGGCTGTGGGGGCAGGGGTGTGGGTGTGTGGATTTTCCTCCGCTTTGAAATCTTGCCTCAGATTTTCTTGGCTTGGATGGAAATGAGCTGATGTCTCCCCACTCCCCGGCACCTCCTCCTCTCCTCTCTAGCATCTTCCAGCACAAACCCAGAGCTCCCTGCTCCTCCTCACCTCCGTTTCCCCCTCTCCCCTGTCCCCCTTCCAGTTCAATTACTGCCTTTTCCCATATTTCCGAGGTGAGGTCCCGCCCGGTTTGTGCATATTGACTCAACAAACCTGCAAATCGCTCTGTCCATCTGTCTGCCGCTTGGTTCATTTGTTTTACTCATTCATTTCACAAACGTTTGTTGAGTGCCTGGCAGCAAGCAGGCACCGTGGTCTGGTCAAGAGAGGTGTCAAGAGTCAACAAGAGGCCCTACTCCAGTCTTTATTAGGCACCAACCATGTGCCAGGTATCCGGGGATACGATGAGGCAGGGCCCATCCTTGGGGACCAGGCAGCAGTGACTGCCCGAAGGCTGTGTGCACCGTGGGAGTTGAGATCATAAGCGACGGCGTCAGATGGCCTTGCTTTAATCCCACCTGCGTGACGTTAGGAGAATCGCTCGCCCCCGCGCGGCCCAGTTTGCCCATGTGTAAGATGGCGCTCCAGCAGGACCTGCGCATGGGGCGGCTGTGAGGATCGCGAGACAGCGGCGGGGTGCATGGCGCTGACACCGAGTAAGCGCTGACAAAGGCTTGCTGGTGCTGTCGCCGTGATCTGGGCACTCTCGGGACTTGGAAGCTCTGCCCTGCTGTGGACCTCCTCTCTTCTGTTCGTGTCTTGAGTCTTCTTTCCAACTTTTCTCGCCCAGTGCCCCCCAGCCTGGGAAGGGAGCCCCTGTATCACAGGACGGAGGCTGGCCCTTTTCCTGCCAGGTGCACTTGAGGAGTGCTGTTGGCCGTGGAGGTTCCAAGCCCCGTGCTCCGGGACAGGCCTGGCACTGCTGTGCTGTGCCCCGGCACAGCGGGAGGTAGTCTGTCCGTGCGGTGCCGGGTGCTGCCCTGCCCGCTGGCAGGGGCAGGCACAGAAGCTGGCTGCATCCAAGTGCAGAGGCGGGGCGGGCCCTGCTGCCCAGCTGTTGTTTGCATTTCTGCCTGAAATACTATCCTGGCTTTGGAGGGGCTGCCTGGGATTATGCATGTGCGAATCCATGGGGCACGCCTCAGCTGGGACAGAGTCCCTCTGAGTCTCCAAAGGGCTCAGCGGGGCCTGTAGGACCCACACCTCCTAGGAGAAAACTGCTGGGGACAGTGGGTTTCTTTCCCCTCCAAGGAGGACCTCTGTGGGGTTTCTCAGAGTTCTATGGCCGTCCCCACCTATCCTAGGGTGGACGGAACCTCCACACAGAAGCACCCAAGGGACTCAAGCCATGCTTTTCACTCCTGTCGGCACACCAGCACCATGGGGGCACAGAGAGGGTGTCTAAAAATGCTCATGCCTGGGCCCCAGAGCAATGAAGCCTGGCTTTCTGGAGCTCAGGCGTCAGCATTTAAAGCTCCCCAGGTGATTCTGTGCTACCAAGTTGGGGATCATTGTGCTAGAAGAATGAGATGAATGGAAACAAATCAGTGGCAGTTGTTCTGTAATGGAAAGACAGACAGGCTTGAACCTAAAAAAGTACTGAGTGAATATGGTTCTCTACATACCAGCTGTGGGAGCTGACTAGTCATTTGTGAAAAGCGCAGATAGAGGGGTGTCACTTGGATGAACGGGGCAGTAAATGCGCCTGGCACATAACATTGGCCAGGTCAGACTCGGGTGTTGGGAAATGTGGCTGGAAGCTGGGGCACTGGTGGGGCTACGTGGAGCCTGGAGACCCTCTGCCATTTCTGTAGCCAGGCTAGCGGTGCAAAGCCCCCAGGCTTCAAGGAGATTGGCAGACACATCGTGCAAAAATTGTACTGGGAATTCGCTTTGGGCTGAAGGTAGTCTAGGAAGGCTTCCTGTAGGAGGTGACTAGTCAGTCCCTGGCTTGTGGATCCTTTTAGCTCCTAGCAAGGCATGTAATGTCTTAGGTGTCTTATTCCCACCCACGCCCTAATGGTGGTGGTGGTAACAGCTGAAGCCCTGAGAGGTTCAAGCAGCATGTGCAGTGCCACACAGCTAGCGAGCTGAGATGGGCACTCAGCCCAGGCTCCACTTTCCAGCCTGGTGCTTGCTTATGAATGTTGCACCGGGCCAGTGGCTGAGGAGGACAGAGAAGTTGCTTGCTTTGGGAGCTTGGGGCCCATGTGCCCACCCTCTGCTATGCCCCAGCTTTTGACCCCTCCAGCCCCTAAAACCGCCGGGAGAGGGCAGCTGGAGGCTGCAGGAGCCTGCCCACGAGCCCCGCACTGCAAATGGCAGAGGGAGACTGAGGCAGTCTCCGTGTGGCAAGAGGGCAGTGGCCAGGCTGGGCCATCGGGGCTTAGGGGCTGGCCCTGGGCTCCTGAGCCGGTTCAGTGCCCCGCTGCCCGAGGGCAGGGACTGCTGAACTTGAGGAAAAGCTGGCAGGGGGCGGGCTGGGCTCGCTGGGGCTGGGACTTTCTTCTTGGGTTTCAAGTAAACAGTCTGGTCCTCCTCCCTCCCCTGCTTCCATCCACCCCCTCCCCTGCCTCCACCCCCGGCTCCTCATTCGACGGGTCTCATGTGTTTCTATTTAAGGGTTGCGAGCAAGCCCCGGTGATTGGCGGCCTCAAACCCTCTTGACTCCTTGCCTGGGCCTGGGCCGTGGAGAAGTCCTCTCCCGCGCTGGCTCCCCGCTCCGCCCTCGCCCGCTCCCGCCCGAGGGAGCGGGCTGCCTTTTCTCTCTGGCTTCGCAGGGCTGGGGGTGAGGCAGGAGCCTCCTCCTAGCCTGTCCCGCTTCTCCCCCCTGTGCTCCGACCTCTGCCCCCATGGGCCACCCGCCCCTTGTGCCCCTGCTGGCCGGAGAGTCTGGAGAGACCACGCCGGCCCCAGGCCTCTCCGCAGACGCCCTCATGCCGGGCTGTGACTAACCCGTCCACAGGAGCTTCTGCTGGGTTCCCTCGGCCTCCTCCTCCTCCTCTGCCTCTCCCCCCTCCTCCACTGTCCCCTCCCCGGCCCCCTGGCTCCCATGTCCCCCGGCCCCTGCAGTGCAGCGGGCCGGTGTGGGGCCTTGCTATATGGCCTGTCCTTGGGGCCCAGCGAGCTGCGAGCCCCGGCTGCGGGCTGCCCCTCGGAGCGGCGCTGGCGACGGAGCAGCCTCCCCCACGGAGGCCGATGGACAGGGGGCGCCCCGGCCGCGGGGCCATGGCTGGCCGCTGGCTCACCGCGTGCTTTCTGCCCTCGCCAGGTGCGGACACCAACGCCGAGCCCATGATCCTGGAACAGTACGTGGTGGTGTCCAACTATAAGAAGCAGGAGAACTCGGAGCTGAGCCTCCAGGCCGGGGAGGTGGTGGATGTCATCGAGAAGAACGAAAGCGGTGAGTGCCCGGCTGGCGGCTGTCCACTCGGCCCCGGCCTGGCTGCTCGGCCCGGCTGGTTTTTGTTCCTTCCTCCTCCCCCACCTCTGCAGCTATACGTTATTTCCATCTGGCAGGGAGAGGGCTGAGGAGGCTGAAGTTTCCCCCTGTTGGTTTGGGCTGCAGGCCAGCAGTTTGCCTGGTGGTGGAAGAATGTCTCCCCTGCCTGGGGTAATTAACCGGCTTGTGTTAACCCAAGGCCAGGGCAGAAGCCACAGGTACCGTCCAGCCACTGAGGCCTCCACGCCCTCTGAGGCCCACGGGGAAGGTGGCTTTCAGCTTGGGGTGACCAGCAGCTTCCCCTGTCGGGGCTGTATTCCAAGCCTGGGTCCAGGCAAGGGCAGGAGAATGCAGCCAGCTGGTAGGGCAGGCGGCCAGAACGTCACCGTGGGTCCCGGGGCCCCAGCCCCCTGATGAGTTCGAGGAAGGGCCAGGCCTGGGGGAGTTGGCGAGTGTTAGCCGGTGAGCTGACTGCCCCCTGCTGAGCTGGAGGCCCAGGACGCAGGAAGAGGGCCCAGAAGGGGGATGAAGCCAGGTCCCCAAGCCAGCCAGGGTCCTGCAGCAGACCCAGGGGCCAGCTGCCAGAGGGGGCTGGTTCCAAGGTTCTTGCAGAGTGGGCCAAAGTGCCTTGGTGTCCTTGCCAACAGGAGTCACAGCAGGTGGAGAGAGAGACCCCAAGTCTGTCAGTCCCCAGGTGCAGGCCTGTCCTGCCCCTACAGGGCCAGGGATGGGACTTGAGCCCAGGACATCGATCAGCAGTTGTCCACGGCCTGATGGGGCTTGAATTGGCTCCTGCAATGTTTTGTTTTAGTTTCGATTTGCTGCAGGGAAGGCCCTGTGTCCAGGCCTTCTTGGACTGTTTGGTGGACTCTTCCAGAGGCGAGGGGCCTGTTCTCCTCTCCTTGTCCCACTCTGTCCCCTTCCAGTATTTTGACATCTGAAAGGAAGGCAAACCAAAGGACCATGGTGCCCATTATGTAGATAGCATAACTGAGGCTCAGAGAGATTGAGGGGAAGCAAGTCTCCCAAGGTCATTCAGAACTGGGGTATTCCTGATTCCTATGCCTCTGGGGAGTGGTGTGTGTGCAAGGAGCTGCAGGGATGCTAAGGAAATCCTAGCGGGCCTCCTGGGGGGGAAGGTAGGCTCAGGAGAACAGGGCTGTGATGCCAGTGTAGACCTGACTCATGGCCCTCCTGGGTCTGGGGTCTTCATAGGCTGTTCTCCTCTCGGGTCGGGCTCTGCCCTTGTGTCTGGAGTCATCACCAGCTTGGTCAGCAGTGACAGTCCCCACCTGGCAGAGCTATGTCCCAGGTGCCCACACTGATCTCCTTCCTGCACAGCTTTGCCCCCGGCATTTGTCATGTTAACAGCCCCACCTCCCTGCTCCCAAAGGAAGCTAGCAATGCCGTGGGGTCTGGCTATGGAAACCCTAAGCACCTTGAGACCCAAAGGAAGGGATCTCTGATGGTGACATGGGAGACCCCAGGTAAAGGAGGTGTTTGTTTTGGAGCCTGCACCAGGAAAGTATAAGGTTGGGTCTTCTCAGAACTTCTGGCTTACGGAGCCTCCTGCCACCTTACCTGCCCTGTCTCAGCTCTGCAGCTGTATACCCCTTGAGCAGCAGGAGGTGGTGAGCCCCTGTGTCTCTGGGAGACAGCCACTGGCCAGGGTGGCTGGTGAGGAGACACCACATGAAAGAAAGTCCATCCTGCTTTAAGACCTCTCCCTCCCTGTCCCATATCCAGGACCCTGGGAACACTTGGAGTTCTGCCCAGAAGTGGGGGAAGAAAAGCCTTGAAAACGTGGGGGTCTGTGTTAGGCTTGGAAAAGGTGTGGAGACACTGCTGTCCTGAGGAGCTCCTGATGGCTATGTGAGGTGGCCCAGGTTCCCTGGCTCCCCATTGCCACCTGCGGCCAGAGCCGCTCAGTCTGGCACACAGATTCTATGAGGGAGCTCTGTTCTTAGAAGTAGGAGTCTACCTTGCAGTTGCTGGCTGGGTGACTTCAGGTCCCTTAACTTCTCTGCGCCTCAGTTATCCCTTCTGTAAGATGTGACCTTGTGGCTGCTTGGAAGTGGGGGCTGGAGCAACTGACATCCCTGAACCCTTTCCCAGGTCTGAACTCCCGTGGCTGGGTAACTCGTTAGGACCCTGGGTGTGGGATAGAAAGAGCCTCCCCGATCGGGCTTTCCCACCTCTCTGGGAGCTGAGTATCTTGACCACAGAGGGACCTGGAATGCTGTGCCTGCCCTTGCAAACCCACCCTATCTGTTGCTATCAGAAACCAGGAGGCCTGGAGTATATAACCAGCTCAACCAGAGAGACTAGTGGGTGGAGGGGAGAAGGGAACAGGGCCAAACTGCAGATCCTTGGGAGGGTGGTTCCTGATCAGGGAAGCTGGAGGCTGACAGTGGGGGCGTGGGGGAGAGGAGGCGTGTTGTGCATCCTGTGAGCTGGCTTCGGAAGGAGTGGTGAGTGCGGCTTCTGAACTCTGGAACAAAGACCCAATTGTGATGCCTTTGACCCTGGGAGGTGGTGGGCGTGTTGAGGCATTTCCATTTGCATTGTTGGGCCACAGCCCCAGTCAGCACCATCCCTGCCTCCTGGCCTCGCCTTGCCTACTGGGTGCCAAGACTCTGCCTGTGTCCCCTCTCACTTGGCTGGCTGTCCCTCAAGTAGAATGTCCACAGAGGGATCCAGCCACCTCTGGCTCTCTCTGCCTGCTCATCAGAACTGCTGTGCATTTTCATTGGTCTAAAGAGAGATGTGTCTGGAAGGTGATTCTGAGTCCATAGACAGTAAATACCAGGTGCCCGTCCACACACTTCACATGCATCCTTCTTCTGGGGTCATGGAACAACCCCATGCAGTAGAAGGCACTTCAGCCATTTTGCGGCTGAAGTAACAGGCTAACAGGTTAAGTAATATCCTTAGGGTCCAAGAGCTGAGATCTCTCCTCAACAGAAGCCAGGTGGAAGCCCAAGTTGGCGGGGCTGTGGGCTGGTCGAGATGACCGCAGAGCTCCCTGGAACATCCTTGTGGAAGGATGCTTCTGTATCCCTCCTGTGGTGCTCATAGGTAGTGGGAGTTCATGTTAATTGATCCATTGAACTTGGGGGCAGGAAACAGCTGAGAGTATCTGAAGAGTGTACCCAGCACTGAGGATAGCCTATCCTAGAGAAGAAAAGTTAAAGAAACCCAAAGCAGGACCAAGTGGCTTTAGGGAAAGCATATTTGATTAAGCAGTAGGCCTGGTGCCCAGCCAGAAAAGGACTCTTCTTCTCCACCAATCAACAGGGACACATAGAGCAGAAAGCTTCAATAGCTTTGGTAGCTTTGCACCTGGCAGGCCATACCAGGGCCTGCAGCAGCCACTGTTGTTGTCTTTGGAAACCCCTCCACCTTTGACAGCAGCAGCAGTGCCTGAGAGCCTCCTTTGTCATACATTCTTGTGCCCCAAAGACCACATTGGCTTTACTCTCCGGCTGGCATAATTGGGTCTAATTTCTGGCAGAGGTGGTGGTGTCGTGGTCCTAACTGCCCTGATCACAGTGTTGAGCAAAGCTGCCTCCAACTGTCCAAGATTGTTTCCTTCTTCTCAGGACTACAGGCCAGGGGAGGAAGTGGGGAGATTAGTCAACAGAATTTCTCCTGACTCAACTTTCCTTCTCTGAGTCTTTGCTTATTTCCTGGCATCAGAGTGATACTTTGGGAGTTCTTAAACTTCTTGGAAGCAGGGAATTTTGAGCTCCTCTGGTCTCTGGTCCATCTTTTTTTTTTTTTTTTTTTTTACGGACAAGAAAACTGAGTCGTGGAAAGTTTGAGAATCTTCTCTCCCCTCCAGAGTCAATGCTTTTGCCCCAATTGAGTTGTAAGCAGAGAGTAGAAATTTCACTTAGACTTTCTCAAGAGATTATTGGAAGGATGTAGGAAAATCTTACTGAACCCAAGGGTGAGAAGTAAATCCCAGCTTTGGAGGCTGGGGCTGGGAGCCACAGAAAGCACAAGCCAAAGCAGCAACTCTGGCTCTCTTGCGTACCATGTGGATCTGAAGCACAGCTGTGCTCTTCTCCTAACTGCAGACCAGGCTTCCTTTTCTTCCCCTTCACCCGTGCCAGCAGCTTGTTTGCATGGTGTTGGTTTGTCAGCACCAGACACTGCGTGAGTTTTCAGTTGAGATAGCTGCCAACAATTGACCATGGCCTCTGATCCTCTGAGTGCCATATTTGAAATTTGGATCTGATTGGTTCCTGGCTAGCCAATGGCTTGGCAGACCATAGATCAGGTGTCCAGCCCTGGTCCAATCAGTTGTGTCCAAGAGAAGCATTGCAGGATATAAACATGGCTACCTAAAGAACCTCTTCAGCAATAGCTGTTTGTAGGCAGGTTTTAAAGAAGGGAGATATTGAGGAGTGGGGGAAGATGCCAAAAAACATGGTGGCTGCAACTATTTTACTTGTTCAGCAGCTGTGTGTGTGGTAGAGAGGGCAGAGAATCTACAATTCCAATACTGGGTTTAAGATCTAAGGCTACACTGATATAAGTAGAAATCAGTTTGGTTTTTGATGGGTGAAAGGGGGCAGTGATATGTACCCTTGAGCTTTTTGTAAGGGAGAAATATACTGTACGTAGTATTCATTTATTCGCTCATTTATTTCATAGTTCTTGAAAACTTCCTTTGTCCTGGGATCTGTGCTAATTGGGAATGTACCCAGGAGGTTCCTGCCTTTATGGAGCTTAGAGTCTAATTGATGTGACTTCTCTCGGCACTTAATGGATACACTGTATTGTGAGGCTGGGATAGCTTTACAGACTTTCCTTTGTCTTAATGGATTTTATTTATATCTTCTATGTCTTTTGCTTATATTCTGTGCTTGCTAAGGAACCACCGGGCTAGAGTGCTGTGGCATCAGCCTAGCTCACAGTAACCTCAAACTCCTGGGCTCAACCAATCCTCCTGC